CATCAATCATTGTACTATTTGCACGTGACACTTAATTTGGCCACTTGATTATTCTGACTATATATTGATTCCATTTAACAAGTTTAGTCCAGCATACATTGAAGATATCCCACAGTTCCATATACATAGCTGGATCCTCCTCAGCAAACTTGACTATTATTGTCTCGGTTGGCTGAAACCCATCAACTGACTTTATTTTTTAACTAAAAACATGAAATTAATAAAGTATAACTATATGACAAAACTCATGATTTTTACTATTTAACTCTTTATTTTATAATTTAAATTGTATTAAATTTGTTTTTTTTTTACAAAAACAATAATTAGTAGATTAGTTTTATTAATTGTTAATAACTGAGAATTTGATCCCCAGATCTATTGAACATCCCACCTTTCTTCAATGAGGCACGAGGCCCATCGAGTCGTTTGGTGAAATTCAATTGTATTAAAATTTAAAATAACGATATTAAATGAAGAAGACTCTAGTATTAGTGAGTTTATTTTTTATTTTATAATTAATATTATGTAATTTAATATAATTCATATTGTATAATAATAATTTTTTTTAGTTTTTTATCCCTATTATTTTCTCTTGATAAGATGGTTTAACATTTGAAAATTATACCCAGATTTAGAGGCTGAGAGTATAAAGACCACATAACCACGATATTTTAGATTTAATTTTTGTGAATAATGAGTTTTTTTCAAAAAGTTTTTATTAAATTGTATATTTTGTTTAATTACTAATTAATTTTTTTAATATTAAATATTTTAATATCTAAAATTTACATTAAATTTTAATTAATTTGAAATTGAATCATGTCAAACTTTATTAAAAAAAGTTTTTTTAACATTTTTTTATCTATAAAATTTAAATTTGAAATTTTATTTAAAAAAATTTAATTACTAATTATTTGTACACTTAGACTATACTCTATATAGAAAATTTATAATAAATTTTCACAATTTTACATGATACGGAATATCAATTTTAATAAATTTTATAATTCAATATACATGTAATTATTTACTATTATCTGGTTATTATGAAGTGTTTATAAATTTATTTAACGCTGCTGTATCAGCGTCGGTGTCAAATTTTACAAATAACTTTAAAAGTGTTTGGAGACAAAATTACATAATCATATCAAAATCTTTAGTTTTATTTCCAAAGGTTGGACCGATATGTCTTTTAGAAAAGAAGCTATATCTTTTTCTTTTTGTATGGTACTGGTCATGTTAAAAACAGACCATGTTAGCAACAAGATTAAGAAATTCCTGTACTCTTTCTTAAAGAATCAAATCAACAAAGGAGAGAGTAACACTAAGCAATATTGCTGAAGGCACAATATATATTCTTCTTTATTCTTTTTTATGAGATAAATACATTATTTGATAGTTCAAATTATATTACAAGGTAAAACAAGAGTTATTAGTGGGGTGAGACCTCTAATATCAAAAGACACTCTCAATTAATAGTTATAATTGTGTAGTTTGGTATGATATGTATTACATAATATTTTTTTATACGATTTAATATAACTTTTTAAATGAAAATATAATTATTTTTAAAAATATTTATGCTAAAAAAGAATAATAAATTTCAACTATTTATAATGCTTAGAATTTTATGTTATTATTATGTGTAAAACTTATATATAAGTTACTTTTTATTCTTTAATATCATATGTGTAATTTGTTCTAGAAAAGAGAGAGAGAGAAGAAATGTAGGGCTTTATATATATATATATATATAGTAGCTAGATAGTAGTATTATTTTCAAAAAAAAAAAAAAACTAATTTTCCCGTATTAAGTCCACCTATTCAGTTTGGTAATAAAAAAATAAATTGTTCATGTAGTAAGGAATTCATGAAATTTGTTAAAAAGACTTAAAGAATTTATTAATAACTAAATATTATTTTATATGATATGTTTAAAGTTTAAATTTTAGAGATAATACATAATAAAAATTATTATCTTGTTAAGGGACGTGGGTAATACTTAAACATTACATTAAAAAAATTGATTAAGAAATGCACGTAAAAAATTTAGTGTTCTCAACCAAATCTATATATACATATCTATAACCTTAATTTTTTTTGTTCCCAATGCACCTTAAAAAATTATTTTAATCCTGTTATCTCTAAATTGCAAGTTTGCACGTGGAATTACTCCAATGTTTAAACTCTAATTGTCTATTTTTAACAATAAAACGTGATTGGCACCAAAAAAATAAAATAAAATATGATATAATAAATAATTGATATTTATTTATTTATTAAAATAAAAATAATTAATTAAAAATATTAATCAGTTATATTTATTTAAAAAAAAACGTTTGAGGAGTACCTAAAATCTTGTTTATTTATTTATTAAAATAAAAATAAAGTAAAAATAAATAATTAAAAATATTAATCAGTTATATTTATTAAAAAAAAATCTTTTGAGGAGTACCTAAAATCTTAACCGTTCATTCGCCGTAAAGATCCACGCGTCATCCAAGTGATGCCATCCAAACGCACAGAGTGCACTTCGGACAAAGATGCACAGCACAGAACCAAATCTTCTTAGACACTGTGATCTTGTTTTTCTACTTATCAATGAAAGAAATCTGTTCTCGGTCCCCTGTGCCGAGCACCCAAGACAGCACGTTTCTGTTCTTCCTTGCAGACTGTGTCTGAATCCCAAACTCTTCCACTTTAGCATGAGTCCTTTAAAGACAACTCTGCTTCCCCTCCTTTTCTTTCTTGCCCGACATCTCTGCTTCTCCTCCTTAAACCCCTGTTTTTCTGCATTTTCTTCCATGTAGAATTTATGAGTTTATAGCCCTCTTTTTTTCATGATTTTCACTCTGTACTTCTTTCTTGTTTTTCCAATTTTTATGGGTTTATGGGGTTAAAGGGTCACATAATCCAATACCCACTTGTTTAAATCCTCGCATTTTGTGAAAACTTTGTGCAAAACCAGCACAAAATTGAGGCTCTTATGATTTGTTGTCTGAATTGAGCTACTATAAATATATACTTCTGAGTTTCAGCTTCTGGGTCTTTGAAATGTCATCTTTAGAGATGTCCCGCATCGATTTGGAGCAAGGCAATCATCGTCGGAGCGACGTCAGTGCTGACGAAGCTAGTGTCTGCTTCTCTGACGCAGAGGAGGGTTCTTGTTACTCTCAGTTTTACTCTACAACCGGTGGCTCCTATGATGATTATAATTTCGCTTGCGCTTCCGATGGACGGCTTGGTGGCGATTTGGAGTCAAGGCGGATGTCATCGGTATCAGATTGTTCGGTAGAGGTGGTGATTGAGAGCGGCCAGCCGGAAACTAAGGTGCATTTGACTAAAGTTGAGAGAGACTGCAGAATTTGTCATTTGGGTTTGGAGAGTAATAGTCATGAATCCGGCGTACCCATTGAATTGGGTTGTTCCTGTAAGAATGATCTTGCTGCTGCCCATAAACAGTGTGCTGAGGTATGGTTCAAGATCAGGGGAAACAAGTGAGTAAAAATCTTTCTTTTTTTTTTTTTTTTCTTTCAAAATTTTCCCTCTTTCTAATGCTTGATCTTGGTTTTTGGGTGAAATTCTTGATACCTATATGGCAAATTTTACCATCATTAGGTGAATAACTTTGTGTCTTTTGAAGGTATAAAGAGAAGCATGTGATTCAATGAGCTTTTCTGTTTCTGTAGATTATAATTTTTATTCATTGCCTTTATATGAAGTAGTTTTGTTTTGAGTTTCCCTTTACACTTTGTTTAGACTTAGAGATGAAGGAATGATTGCAATAATTACCCACTAAAGAGAACAAAAAGTTGATAATTTTGGATACTATGTCCTGAATGTTAGTTAAATTAATTTATGAGGTGTCAAGCAGAATGCAAGAGGTTAGTACTTAATAACATGTGGATAGGAGAAATTTTGTACAATAAAAAGGGGAAAGAAGGAATAAGATTAGAAAAGAAATTGATGGAAAAAGTAAAGCTGAAGAGTAAAGCACCTGGGAGTCCTCATAAGATGTCTGACCATGCCGACAATTATATGTTGTTCCGTGCTTTTTAGAAGTTTAGGAATCTCTGTATTGCTTCTTTCTGATTCCCCCTTCTTTATATGTAGGAAAGTAGAGATTTGACCTTTGTTGATGCATTGTCTTTATCTTGAATTAAAGATCATTGCTCGCTGGTGCGCCACTTTGGAGTTTTTTAATTTGCCACGTTGGCAAGTCCAGATTTCCTGCTTACTTAGCTGATAAGCATTTCCATATACATAGCATTATATGATACCAAACTAATGGTACAGAAAATTTCTTAGATTGTAGCTATGATTGTTGAAGTTACTTGTTGATTGTGTATTAACATGATTGTGCTCCATGTATCTGGCAATCTTGACTTGTGTAGGTTCTTGCTGATCCTATATCTGATCCCATGTCTGATCCTGTCGCTCCTCATAACAACAATTAATGTGTTGCCATGTGCTGACTACCACCCATCACCCATGATACCATCTCATATTATGAGGCTCTGGTAGAGACCAGGATATTGTTTCGATCAGATAGGATTTGGAACTGTCTGTCCTGCTTCAAATTCAACCCTGTGTACCGACTTTTACAAATTTCTGCTGAGAACTTATATGAAATATGCATTGCCACTTTAATTCTTTTACATTGAAGGAGGTCAAAAAACCTTGTTATTTATTTTCTGCTAAGGCAGATTAGGTTGCGCTATTTTGTGTTTGTGCCTTACGGAGCTAGTGAATGTGAAAAAGATTTTCTGATTTGTGGCACTTCTTCTTCATTTACCTCATGCAAATGTCAACACCTCTTGGAATGGCTTTTCTCATTCTTTTATGATCTTTTTCATATCTTCTGTGTTCATTCGATCTCTTTTATTTTTGTCAGGACATGTGAAATTTGTCATTCTGTTGCACGCAATGTTGTTGGAGTAACTGAGATTGAGGCAACTGAGCAGTCGAATGAGACCACCAATTCCACAGGGACAGCAGCAGCAGCAGTCTCCACATCAGTTCCTCATTCAGACTCTCGAAGCTTCTGGCAGGGCCATCGCTTCCTCAACTTCCTTCTAGGTTGCATGGTATTTGCATTCATCATATCATGGCTCTTTCACTTCAACATGAGGCAACCATAAAGCTCTCAAGCAAAGATCAAAAGAATGAAAATCAAGAATGATCAACAGAATTGCTCTAACTGAGCCAGCAGAATTTGCTGTCATGATGATGAGTAAATGGGATTGTAGAGAGCCTCACGATATGTTTAATATGGGTATTTATACGTGATACGTGTAGAGAGCTTCTTAATAGGTATTTTTATCTGCACATTCCTCATAGTAATGAGAGCTGCATCTTGCCTTTGCAGTTGAGGATACAGAACTAATTACTATATATTTGGTTTCTGAGGGAGTGCTTGAATGTTGGGCTGTTGGTCTTGAGTATTGCTGTAGTTCCACAAACTTGAGTATCATTTTTAGGTTGTTTCTCTTTGGGTTGTGAGGAAAATGGATTGTAAATGATTTTGCTTGGCAAGAAAATTCAACAAAAATTTCCTGTGACCATGGAGTCAGTAACAGGGTAGTCTTTCAACTCCTGCCGTGAGGGCAGGGGTGTCCCTTTTTTGGGCAACTTTGTTCACAACAAAATTCTCTTAATTTGGGATGAGAAAAAGAAAAGGAATTTAATTCAAGAGCCTGAACAATTAAAAATGAAAAAAAAAAGAAAAAAAATGAAAAAAAATAAAATAAAACAATAAGAGGAAACCTACACATTTCCAAAATTCTTGTTCCTTTTGGATTCTAAGCAGGTTTCATCTTTGAGCGTGCGTTGGGCATCATTCTCCATTCCTAAGATAAAAAGCTAAAGGCCAACTGCTTGCGCCTGCATGGCATCCCGAAGCAGCTGCTTGGGTTATGTCAATCATCAAGATAAGCAACCTAACCGAGCCCTCAGACTTTGCCCATGAATCATCAGGCTGCTTAAGGCCAGTTCGGAACGGTAGGGTACAATGCTACCACCACGGAATTTGCAGAAAATGCTTTGATTTAGAAGGTGCAAAAGGCAGCAAACTGGATAAACTCAGCACTTCAACATGCCCAAACCATCTACCTTTCTTTTGCAGATTAACATATTTAGGCCTCAGCCACCTTTTCTTAATACAGCTTCAAGTGATCTATGGCTTTCTCCACATTTGAAAAAGCGAGATGAAATTCCAGAATAACCAAATCAAATCCGAGAATTTTACCAATAAAAAGGGACATCAAAGAGAAAGTTTCAAACTGATGACTTTGCTGTCTCTTTACATATTAGATTGTAAATTTCCTAGCCTAGAACAAGTTTTTATGTTTGTAAAAAAATTGCACAACTTCTTTTTATATCTCACATATTGATTTCAATCCATGTGCTCAAAAACAAGTAGATAGGTCAAGCGTAGGAGAAACTAGCACACCTCATTAGCAATCCCTTTACCATCCTTGGATCCAATAATTTCCAATATTTTCATGAATAGCTGTGAGATCCTTCCAGAAGCAAGCCTCTCCAAAAGGAATTTAATGGGACAGGGGGATGTTGAAGATGTAGTTTCATGTCAAAGTGTGGAAAACCCCTATGATGAAACCTGTTAAAACTATATTTAATGAAAATTTGTATTTTCAAGTAGGCTATTATTAACTGTTCAAAAGAAACATGCTAACTGAAGGCGTGGGAGAGGAATACACATTCTTGGACATGACATAAAGAAATACAACTTCCTAATGCTCCCACATTTTGAACAATGAACTTGCAATAAGATGCTAAATGCTAATATAAGAATAGTAAAGTAATACAATCACTTTAAAATACAAAAGAAAATCCGAAGGAATAAAAGCACAGCAGACAAATGCAAGAACAAAACATTATAAATTGGGATCCTAACTCAAACTAAAGTCAATTTTAGTTTTGCAAATGCATTTCTTGATGATAATAGGATGAAAAAAATATAGATAATTAAATACCAATTATAAAATCGAAAAAGTGTTTGTCAAGTTGATTTATGAATTTTACTAAGATTTATCTAACTTACATCTTAAGGACATAGTTTAAAAGTATAATAAATATAATTTTTATAATTAATTTACATTAAAAATTATAAAAATAAAAATATATTTTAATATCATTAATACGTAAATAATTTTAATTAATTAATTAAACAAAACAAAATTTTTATTTATATTTTAATAAAAATTAATTATAAAAAATATATTTATTATACTTTTTATCTTGTATCATACTAAGAAAGGATAGAAAAATTCTTCTACTAAAATATCGTTCATGAATCATTTTCTTATATTATTTCGTTGATAGCATTTTAGTTATTTCAATGGTCCTCCCCTGCTGCTAGCCGCATTGTCCATTTCATCGGCTGTTTCTCCCTGCGTTAACACTGGGGAATCAAATCCAGAAACTTCTTCACAATGTAATGTAGTATGGAAAAGGAAACTCATGATGAAATTGATGTTCCGCCAAGGTTTTACTGGGCATAAACCCCACGACGACTAACCCTTCGTCGCCTTGACAGCAACAATCAAATCAATGTCGCCGAATGCTGCCTCCTCAGATTCCCGATGGTTATCGCTTCCTCCTAACAACATTGTAAATCGCAACTCTCAATTCAGAACACTTGAGAATCGGCGAGAATCCGGTCAGGCGAACTTGTTCAAACACTCAACGGCTTGGACTATAACACTTAACGGCGATCCAACCCAACGGCGTCGAGTAAACGATGTTTGAACTTTTTCACGCGAGACTAATGTCATCGGAAGAGAACAAAATACACCTGCCGGCTTTCAATTGATCTAAGCTGAACTCACCGGTGTTACTTGCATTCTTTCAAAAATGATAAATTTTTTTTAATTTTTTATATAATTTTTATTTAATTTTTTATATAAATTTTATATGAAATAAAGAAATTATACATAAAATTGTAAAAAAAAAAAATTACCTCTAAATTATTTTTCAGAAATTATCTCATCTGATTGTCATCCATGTTCTTTGTTTTTTGGTTTTTTGGTCAGAATCTAATCTATCATCCATTTTTGTTTTTAGAAAGTGAAAGAGATGAAGATTATACGTTTTTTTTTAGAGATTTTGTAGCCCGGACAAAGAACTATATGGCTGTCCTAATATTAAAATCAACCCCTTATCCAGTGATTTATATTATATAATAAGATATAATTCAAATAACATAATATTTTACTGATATTTTAATCATTCAAATTATTAAAGATAAAAGATGCTCCTAATCTCATATGAAAATGCAAGTGAAGTATGATTGTGAGTTATATAATATTATATTTAAATATTGTATCAAGATAAAAGTACAATTGGCGCCTAGATTTTATGGTATAACAACTCCTAACTCTAAACGTGGTTGTGAGGTGTATTCCCAGTCATAGGATTAGGACTCAAATTCATTGACCCTCAATTGTAAACCGTTTGAAAAAAGAAAAAAAAAAAAAAAAGATGGAAGTACAACTGTGACTGAAATATCGTTTACATTCCAATATTGCTAACCATTTGAATTTGATTTTGAAGGTCACTTCAATTGGTCTAAGCTGAACTCCCCATCTATGAAGGATAGCAGCAGCAGAGAAGAAATGCAACACTCGCAAGACGTTGTCCGAGAGTTCAACATTATTATTTGTGCCACTCACATGACCACATAGAAGACTGAAGAGTGAAGACCCCTTTACAGAGAAAAAGGTTAGGAGAAATTGGTCCTGTCGTGTTATCCAGTCCAGACATGCATGATCTGCCAGACATGCAAATTCTTCTCATCATCTTCTTTATTGACCAATTTTGTAACAGCTTAAATTACGCCGCTGATTACCAATCAGCAAGCCTTTACAGGTGGGGCATCACAATGGTTGTGCTTGCTTGCAGGATCACCAAACAAAAGTACTGGGGCCTCTTTGCTGTCAGGGCATCAGTACAGTACATGAAAACTGAATACCCACATGGGCAACCACCAAACAAGCTCTTCTATTCCACAGCACTTATCCTTGAATATAGAATAAAGAAGTCGATAAAGACGTAGGTATTCAGCTTTTGTGGATACAAATTATGCCTTGTTCTGAAGGGAAAGATGACCCTTTTTCAAAAAGGTGATTGATAGATATACGTTCAAGTTTTAAATTTTGGGCATTGTATTCACATCCACATGATCTTTTTCATTTCCAATGAAGACTGGTCCCTCCCCCACCAACAAAAGCAGAATGCTAATATACAGATGGTGGCATGGTGCATCATTTGATCTGTTTTTGGGCAAGAAAATATGCAGTACAAAGATGAAGAAACATGTGCTTGTGAATTGTGACAGAGGAAAAGGACCCTTCCCCTCTTCCCTGCAGTAGACTAGAGGTTGCACAAGTTCCTGTACCACCAGTCCAGAGCTGTAGCACTGGCACCCTTTATTTTGTGTCTCTCTCATTATTTTCCAGTAAAATGCAATCCATTTACAGATCAAAGTCATTGAAATATGGTTCTCAAAAGCCTTCGGCCTTGAGATATGATTGTATTCATCAAACGGGAAAAAAAAAAAGAGAGGGGTTCAGATAGCCAGTTAATGGAGGCAAGGCACCATGAACGGTAACAGGGTGAATGACGGAACATAACATGGAGAATTCCATGATTTGTAGTATTTGGTGATTGATGACGATCTTAATCTAAGACACGAGAGGACTGCAAAATATACAACGGAATAACATCGAATTCTATTTTCTTTAGAATACAAATCAAGTTTCACCTGTCTTCGAAGCAATTATATAAGCCTTTAATTGAAGATCATACAGAATTAAGCCAGAGCCCCTCCCATCATAGCAGCAAAGTCCATCACCTACGCACCATTCATTGCAGTATCATGGACTCCATTCACATCTTCCAGAATCTTGCCATTTACTTGAGTTCTCTGCCTCTGAACATAGAAATAATGCTAAAATATCAGTCTAATAGATATCAATTTCAAGCCGTATAACAACAACAAATATATACTATGTAAGTTAACCATACCCGATCCGTAGGGTCTCCAGCATTCCCGTTCAAGGGCTTGTGGTTCTCTTCTTTTGTCCTACCATCCTTTTCTTTCGTGCTCAATGGTAGCAAGAAAAGTGAATTTCCATTAGATCGGTCAGGCAGTTCTGCAGTAACAACTCAGTGTTAGTATCGTGGCCAAAAACCAAAAGAGAAGGGTCATTTAAAGTTAAAATGAAATATAATAGAACATCAAGCTATTCTCACCTGGAAGTTTATGGTCTATGAAGAATACCACTAAATTAACGGTATACCTGCATAAGAATTATATTATTAGATTAATGTTTAAAAAATCCAAAGCAGGAAAATGCTTCACAACGAAGTGAAAATTAAAAGAATATGTAAATCAACAATACCATGCAACAACTATATCAACGGTGTAATGTTTGCGGGATGCTACAATCAAGAAGCTTTGAATTATGGCTATCAACCAGGCAAGCTGCTTTATAAACCTGTAGTCAATCATGCACCAAAACCTTGAAATTAATAAATTTCAGACATGCATAGGTAGATATGCGGTGATAAGGCGTCCTCAAAGTACCCCATAGTATCAGAATGTATATATTAACAGGGTATACCTTCGTGTGCCATACTTTTGATAAGTACGGACAAAAACCAGTGTGAAGATCATGTGTGATGAGAAAATCAAGTCACCACAACCATAAATTATGCCTCGAGGAACTGCACATTCAGCAAGAAGCAAATTAGCTTGTTAGAAATTATTAAAAAAAAAAGGGGGGGGGGGGGGGGGGGGGGGGGGTTAAAATAATAATACTCACAATTAATTAAGAGGACTTCAAGAGCACTATCTGGTGGTGGCAACCTAGCAAGTTTAGAACCCTGTAAAAGGAGTTATTTGAGCATAACATAGTTAGAATCAAATTCAGATCTTATAAAACAACAAATAAGAAAATTGTCTCAAACTACTAGAGGTTAATAAAATTAAAAGGACAGTGTTTTAAATGTGAACTCAAAGTTAAAAACTAGTACATAATGCCTGATAAAGCACAGGCAATAAAATGTGCACAAGTGTAGACTCTACCTCTCGGCAATGATAATTTGGACCAGGAAGCTGAGTAGAATAAAATGTGATAATACGAAGAATCTGAGAAGCCTGCAACAAATACATAAACAACAAGCAACTTGAGAAAAACACTGGAAATGGTTAATCAATAAGCTCCAAACTAGTTTCCTTAAGCATATGTTGCAGAGACTCAAGCTCAAGTGCTACCATACCAACCCAAGTTTGCATTATCCATTGAATTTCCATAACTGATTCCATTTATGAGGAAGTTAAAACAAATAGTTATGTCTGCTCAAGGTGTCTAGTATATTTTCCACATAGGTGGCATTGGATAATGTGGGAAGTCAGAGCAATGTAGTCACTGACTATAACATAAAAAATATAAGACCTATTTAATATGCATTTACAATAGAAAATAAAAATGCACCAACGCCTCAGCACTCACAACTAAAAATGCCAGAACCCTGCACCACACCAATACTGTGTAGATCTTTTTGCTTTTGACAATGAAAGGATGGAAAGTCCACTGCAAAGAGCACACCACATATTAGGACAAATGGACAATTAAACACAAAAAGATAAATTTCACAAAGCACTCTTGGAATGAACCTCACTGAAGGAAACATGAGGAAAGAGGTAAGAGAAAGCAGGCAACATCCTTATTAAAATAAACATTAGACATTGTTTAAACTCCGCACAAACTTACAAACCAACAAATTCATAGTCATCACCAATTAGAATGGAGTCCAAGAAGACAATAATATTATGATGTGTTTTCAAGAACTAAAAGAAAGCTAGTGTTAGTTTTTCTTCAACCTGGAAATAAAAAACTATCAAATTTAGGCGCTACTATCCCAAGTCCCAACCTAAAAGAACTACTGAAACTGAAACAGGAAAACAAAAAACAAAGTTGACAAATGAAATTGTCGACAGAGAAAGCAAAACAATAACATTCAAAACTTACCAAGACAAATGATAAGAAGACAAATGTGAACAAAGTCTCACTGATGTAGGCTTTATCTTTCCCAAGCTCCTATATTTAAAAAATAAAACAAAACAGATATAAGAAGCACTTCCTATGGTAAATAGTATATAATACAATGAAACCAGAAAGAAACAGAACTTACAGGTAGAAGAATGAAACCTAGGTCCTGAAGGACTGGCCCTGGCCGATGGAGATAATGAACTCCACGAGCAGCTAGACCATGAATGTACTGCAGACAAGAAGTGTACATTTCACCAAATGATGGACACAGAGTAACATTGGATGGAAATACACTAATAAAAGTGACAAGCAATGGTATTAGGAGGGAATGGATGAGGTTTCTGAAATTCAAATTTGTCTGCTATATTTACATCCAATGAAAGACCTACAACAAAACCCCTTCAGCTAAAATGTTACACTTAAATATTATAAAATGAAGAATCTTCAAATTCTGGAAATAAAAAACACTGAAAGAAGTGGAGGAGCCAAACCATCTCTCCAAGAATTAAAAGGAACTGGAAGAAACAGGATGTGCAATCAAAATCATTCTTTTATAGAACCAAATTTGCATACTTAAAACGGATTATTCCTGTCCGAGCTATGACAAGGATTTATCTTATGCTAAAAGCATAAGTTTTTCCTCCAGAAGTCACAAGAGCAAGAACCCATGATCGCTACCCCTTACCAAATCCCACGCGTTTACATCAAATCGAACCTCTATTTTGCTTTTCTTTTCAGAGGACGGGAAAAAAATAGTGCTGGTTCAAAGGAACAGCAAAAAGAAAAGCTGTATTTCAAGACGCAGGCTTTAACATGCATAACGTATAATTGAAGAAGAATTAGTACTCTGAACACAAAATGGGGTTAATTTCCAACCTGCAAAAAGAGACCGGCAAGAAGGTACTTCCAATTCTCTACAAGTAAATTGATCTCTGTGATTGCCTCTGCATAAATTCTCTTCCATAGCTTCAAACCCAAACCAAAACCATGTTAGATCAAAAATACCCAAAACAAAACTTGCAAAATAATCTAAGAAAATCAATCAGTCGCATCTTCAGAAATCAAAACCCAGAAACCATAAACAAGAGTAAGAACTAAAGCTAAAACCTTTGAAGCCTCGCGACCAATGTAAAGCGTCATCTTGTAGTCCTATAAGCAAGCACAAGTTCCATAGTAGTTTAAAGACCAACTGTTGCGGTCAACATCATCACCTCAACTACTCACACAAAATCTCCTCAAATCTTTCTCATAAAATCTCAATCTCCACAAAAGAAGCGAAATTCCCGGAAATCAATCCCCTCCAGCAACGAACTGAAATCCAAAGGAAAAAAACTCCACCGCCGAACCGATCGAGATCCAAAATCACAGACGGAGAACCCGAGAGAGACAGAATTGAATGGGGGTGGAAAGAAGGCGGCGTTGGCCGTCGATAATAATCAGGGAAGAAGGAAGTATGAGATTCTCTTTTTGTTTTTGGCTTTTTTTGTCTGCCGCTTAAAAACGCGAGTTGAACACGAACACGGAGAGACAGTTGAGAATTGAGAAAGCAAAGGGAAAATATAAAGAGGGCTGAGCTTTTCAGTTTTTATTTATTATTATTTGTAAAGAAAAAAATAAAAATAAAAATAAAGAAACTTCGCGGGCGCCCCGGAGTGCTTAGACTCTTCCGTCTTTGACAAAGGCTTGTTTGGTATTTACCTTTTGTGCATAATATATTTTTTAATTTGTGGACAAATTGTTTTAAAGTGGAGAGTGGAAACTATATTCACAGTTAGATACCATCAATTCAATTCATTATATTTTTTTGGTATATCAATCCAATTCATTACTTTTTTTTGGGTACATCAATCCAATTCATTATCCAATTAAAAAATTACTTTTTTATAAATTAAAACTCTATTTAGTATAATTGTAGTTATTTATTTTAGTTTTTAAATTTTTTATAATTAAAATTAACTAATTTATTGGGTATAAAATTTTAAAACAAATACCAAAAACTTTAAATTTAATTAATTTATAGAAATCCTTAATTTTATTCTAGAGTTTCTATATTTTTTAAAATCATAATCTTAACTAAA